CTATCTCATTTGAGATTTTATCAAATACTAGTTGAGCATCTTGATTTCTAATCTCTTTTACAAGATTTCTTTCATTCCCTAACCCAATGTTTACCTATTTATGTTCAATAATCTTCCCATAAACCTAAGTTGTACATGCATGTATACATAATACTAATACACCCAAGAATCATACCTCAATAACCCATCTTATACTCCAAACTTGAAATTAAAGTCTAGGGTATAGAACCTTACCTCTTAGATGAAGAACTTATGATTGGGTTCTTTGATTCTTGAGGATTGATGCAAGATTTGGATGATTTAAATGTTGGGTTCCTTCTTCTCTCTCTAAAATGCCCTCACCTCTCTCTAGTTTTGTTCATAAAATATGTTAAAATAAGGGGTTGGGTATTTTATTGAAGAAGGGGTTGGATTTAAAATTTATAAAAATAGGAGCCCGAGTTAGGTATGCGATTGCACTTTGCGATCGCAGAGTGGAAATGCGGTCCGCAGAATGGACCGCAAAAGTTCTCCCAAAATCTGGACACACTGCCTGGGTATGCGACAGAAATGCGGTCTGCATAGTACCCGTTCTGCGGTCGCATAATGCACCGCAGAACTGCCCCTCTCAAAAATCCCAAGGGAAATATGCGACGACTATGCGGTCCACATATCGGTTATGCGATCGTATATCGGACCGCATATTTAACCTCAAACTCGACCAACACTCTGACTCACTTTGCGGCGATTATGCGGTCTGCATACCTGATATGCGACCGCATTCTCGACCGCAGAATCACATTTTTTGGAAAACAGTATTTCTTGAGTTTTTATAACATAGATCAGTACCAAAAGGGTCCGAACCGCGGCTCGCTTAATTTTACACATTCCTAACATATATTCGGGACTTAGCACCACGAGCTACCCGGTTTTGAGTACAAGTTTTCACGGGGCCTTACAACTTTGTTTCTAGAAATTCTCTCTACATCTCTCTCTATTTCTCAATAGAAAATTTCAGTAATACAAAGCAAATGAAAAGAGAGCAGCAATTCCAGCATTGACAGCCATTAAAAAGCTTGAAAGCTTTGAATTCAAATTTGGGTTTTCAAAAATCATTATTTGTTTGGATTGGGTGTTGTTGAAAATAATCGGGAATATGGTTTGGAGTTTATATCTCAATTTTGAGGGGTTTTGGTGAAGATTAGACTTGGTTTTGACTGAATTTCAGATTGAAACTCGAAGAAGAAGAAGAAGAAGAAAACATATTGCAGAAATTGTAGAAAAATTGTAGACTGTTGTTTATTTATTTATCTTTTATTCATTTACCTATTGTATGAAAGTTGAACAATATTGTATAAAAATTGTATTAAAGTGGATGATTTAGTACTGTTTTGGACAAAAATATGTATAAAAAATGTGAAACATACATTTCAGGGGAAGCATGTCGATTCCAAATATGTACCTAGTTTGTAGATATTTTGTTGATAAATTTTAGATTATTTGTATTCTGATTGTAGATGCTTTATTTTCTGTTTTTACAAATAAAAACGGCTAAAACTTCTACAAATCTTCTGAAAAAACGTAATTATGTCGAAAATCCCAATTAAACTACAATTAGATGAGAATTGGGATATTAAAATTTAATATACCCAGTTTGTAGATATTTTGTAGATAAATTATAGATTATTTGTATTCTGATTGTAGATGCATTGTTTTCTGTTTTCACAAATCCAAAACGACTAAAACTTCTACAAAATCTTCTGCAAAAAAACGCAATTATGTCGAAAATACCAATTAAGCTACAATTGAATGGGAATTGGGATATTAAAATTCAATGTACCCAGTTTGTAGATATTTTGTAGATAAATTGTAGGTTATTTGTATTATGATTGTAGATGCTTTGTTTTCTGTTTTCACAAATTAAAAACGACTAAAACTTCTACAAATCTTCTGCAAAAAACACTCTACAATTTATCTACAATATTTCTACAATTTATCTACAATTGCTGCAATATAATGTATGTCATGTCGTCATCGTCTTCTTCTTCTTCTTCTTCTTCTTCTTCTTCTTCTTCTTCTTCTTCTTCTTCTTCTTCTTCTTCTTCTTCTTCTTCGAGTTTCAATTTGAAATTCAACCAAAACCAAGTCTAAATCTTCACCAAAACCCCTCAAAATTGAGATATAAACTTCAAAACATATTCCCAATTATTTACAACAACACTCAATCAAAACAAATAATGATTTTTGAAAACCCAAATTTGAATTCAAAGCTTTTTAATGGTTGTCAATGATGGAATTGTTGCTCTCTTGTCTGTTTGAAGGTTTGTTCTTCTTCATTGAGAAAATTTGAAGCTGAAGGTAAATGTGTGTATGAACTTTTAAGATTTGACTTCAATTTTGACTTGTTTTAGAAGAAAAAAGCTTGAAATTAGATGTTAATGGAAGGGTGTTACATATGTTTCTCTGGTTTTAGTAGAGTGAATAATGAGTTTGAAATGTGGGTGTGGGGAGATACGTGGGTGAGAGTGTGGATTTGGGAGAGAGAAACATGGGGGTGGGGGAGGAATATACGGTAGCGTTAATTAAGGAGTGATATACGATATATTAATTGTACAGTTAAAATATATTATGGTATAGAATTAATAATTAGGTATACTAAATGTAATTAAATCAAACTTTAAACATTGAGGGTAATATAGTTTCGTATATGGAACAGGAATGTAAAAATTCCATCTGGAACCCACATGCCCAAATATCTTCATGTCGGGCTAGAAGGAGAACAAACCATTTAATACCGAATTAGTACTCAAAAATCGATTGACTTCAATCGCGCACGGCTTTTATTTTATTTTACTTTTTCTCGGCCAGTGAACATTCTTCTCCTCTCCGTACTCTCCCTCGGGCTCACTACACGCCGCGCAACCAAGTTGTAAGATCTCCGTCTCTTTATTCCAATTGATTCTTAGTGTAAATTCGAATTATGAATAGGTTTTCTTTTTTCGTTTTGCATTTTATATGTTTCTCGTGCAATAACTGTTCCTTAGTTTATATTTCAGAAAGAAAAAAAGGAAAGGAATGGAGATTAACCATAATGACTGTATTTTAACTTAACTAGTTAAAAGAAGAGAATTATGCCATATATATGGAATAATTACCAGTAATATCTGAGTTTTGAGCAGTAGAAGTGAAAGTCGGAAAATTCAAGTAATTCACCAAAACCTTGCTACTTACCACGGAATTCAAGTTTTGACCACCTCAAAATCTAATTGCATTTGAATTGAAGTAGTCTAAAGTATCCCTAATATTCATATTAGTCTATGACATCAACCCTTCACTTAAGGTTTGTATGTTTAGAGAACTTTATAATTGATATCTTTACATACAATATGCACAGGTCTATCTAGGGGTAAGAACGTAACTCGTGATGTGTTGATTAGGCGCACGTCACGACTTTGACTCATGCTACAAACAGAACTTGGTATTTAAGTGAAAAATGGTAGAGGGATGGACCCGTTGAACCAAATTTTGAACCGTGCGCCAGTTGCCACCGGCCCTCTGGGATTTCTCGGTCATTAAAAAACATATCATCTGCATTAGTTCATATTGGTCTTTGTGTTTCTTAAAAGTTATTATTCATTTTATTGTCCCCAAGAGGATGGTTGAGTGGTGGAGGAATAAAAGTTAAATCCTAGAGATGCTAAGCTTGAGTCACAACTATAATACTCAGCTTGATCAAAAAAATTACGCACAAGCTGGTTCAAGCTCCACCGTCATATAAATAAAAAGTTAATACGCATTTTATTTGCTTCTCATGTAATAATGGCTCCGAAGTTTTGAAGGTGCACTAATCTGCCTTTGAGGTCCTCTATGCCTATCTTTTTGGAAAGAAAATGTAGGAATGAAAAGGAACGATAAAATGTTGTATTATGACTTTAAATGTACTGTCTTTCATTTCGTTTCGTTTTCTTTCCATTCCTTCAAACTTTCAGTAAGAGGAATAATTCCATAAAATATGGACTGCTTTTCATTACTTCATCAGTTTTCAGCACTAGAAAATGAAAACCATAAAATCCATGCAATATACCAAATTTCTTTATATATTGCAGCCGCAGAGTTCAAGTTCTGACCATCTGAAATCTAAAAATATCCCTTAAATCCAAATCAGTTTTTCACATAGACCACTGACTTAAGGTTCGTATGTAAGAGAACTTGATAAGTAATTTTCTTATTGTATATTAATTTCTGTTTCTGCCAAGATTGTTATTAGAGAATAGACTATATTTTGTAGTCCTTCCTGTCAGATCGACTGCTATTATCCCAAATTCATTGGTCGTGCATCCATACGTTCTCGCGTTCCAAAGATTTTGAACTCAGGATCATCTCATTCTTGAAAGTTGATATAGATAAAGAGAAGACAAGCTGATCCAGTTCATTATACTGGTAAATATTTCAGCTTCAGAGAATTAGTCTTCCTTTCTTATTCTGTTCACTTTAATGAGTTCTGTTGTACAAGGAACAAAGTGAAACATAATTCTATAGCTATCACCCTCTCATGTTGATGATTGTGGGTTTTCAGTTTCTCAAATGGATCCAGAAGCTGCACGCCATGCACGGGATTCACTGGATCTAGTATTTCACATGTCGAATATTCTTGACACTGGACTTGATCGTCACACTCTATCCGTTCTGATTGCTCTCTGTGAAATGGGTTTCAGCCCTGAGGCTTTGGCCGCTGTAGTTAAGGAGCTTTGTAGAGAAACATCAGTTTCTTCTTCTGCCGCAAAAACTGCTCCATCAGCACCTTAGAAAGATTTCTTTCAATCCTCTTAGATTGCTGAAAGTGGTAGGTACAATCTCAAGAGGGGCACAAAAAGCCATCATTATGGTAATATATATACCTTTGGTTTAGAGATAGGTATAAAATTTGAGCGTCAGGGCCAGCGCCCCACGCTGGCCTGGACGCTCAAAATGTAAACGTGTCCTATTTCGATTAGGACTCGGTTATTTCGACAGTAGGATGTTTCCAACTCATATAAAAGCGAATCTAAACCTATTTTGAGAGGGGAGGACGTTTTGGAGAGGAAACACAAGCACAGAGCCGCCGTGGATCATCGGGTTTCATCTTTTCTTCCACCAAACTTTGTAATTTTTATGTTTCTTTGTATGATTTGTTGTTTGGCTACAATGTCGTGGAACTAAACTTCACATTCTAGGGTTGTGGTTCTTTCATTACTATTTTTATTCGAATATTGATTTTGCTTTCTTGATTTATCATATTGGTTTATTTATTCAATCCTTCACTTAATTATTTGATTGCTTGATCACCAATTAAATACTATCTACGAATCTAGAGTTGATCTCGAAAGTGGAAATTCTAGATTGCATAGAGGATTGAGTAGAACAAGTTCTTGAACCTGGGCATCGGGGAATGGATTCACGGTTAGGATAGGCATATATCTAATTGCCTTGTTTGGTTGATGTACAGAAAATATGAATGCGTTCTTGTTAGTTCTAATTCCATAGATATATAGGTGTTAGGTTAGCTTGAATAGGCGAGTAAGAACTCGACAGATTCTTATGAGCGATATTATCCCTGTCAACCATTAAGCTAGATAAATAGTTAGTCAATTTAATTGAAGAATACAATAAGAATGTTAGATAGCTCATAACCTAGATCGTTTTCATAACATTGATAACATAAAAATCTGCTCTTTCTCTATTCAAAGTTCATTATTTGTTTTTTCTTTATTTTGATTAGTTTAAAATTAAATATTTCTAGGTTTAATTCTTGTTTAGATAATTAGGATAATCTAATTTAGTTAATAGTTAGTCACAAATCTTCATGGGTTCGACATCCGACTTTTAGTCACTTTATTACTTGATGACCGCGTATACTTACGTGTGCGTTTGGCCGCAACAGGGAGGCAAAAGACAAGAGAGAATTCAGAACAAGAGAGAAATGATTTGTATTAGCTTCAAAAGTGTGTTCCCCCTATTACAAACTATTATTTATACAAGTGGAATCTGAAATTGAAATGTGAAACATGATGGAAATAGAGAAAACAGAATAACTACTTTTTCCTCCAAAACAAGATGTTCAAATAATTATACTCAGCTTCCACGTCAACTGTTGTTGTGATATGTGTATCCCCATTTCGACTTTCGAATGCATAAACTCTCTACTAGCTAATCAATCTTCCTATTGTTTTTCTCAGGTCGTCCTCTCCCCCATCACCGGTGTGAACACCTAATTTTTGACAATATTTAATTTTTTATCACTTCTTTATGTAAATATTTTAGGGGGTTTTAACCTACTATTATTTTAGCTTTATTACACTTTTTATTATAGGATAAAAATACAAAAAAAAATTAAAGGTGAATTATCACTATTAATATTTTTTTTATTATTTTTTGTTTTTTTTATAAAAAAAAACAAAATCCGAAAATATAATTTTTTCTTTTAAAAAAAATAAAATTTCGGGAATGATTTAAAAAATAAGAAAAAGGGAAGTATTGAATAAAAAAAATATAAAAGTAAAAATAGGTGGAATTCTCTTTTAAAAAAAGTAAAAGAATGTAGAAAATTTAAAAAAATAAAAAGTTTTGTGGAAATTTTAAAAAAAATTAAAAAGTAAAAGAAGGTTGGAATTAAAAAATAAATATAAAGGTATCTGAAAATTTAAAAAATTTAAAGTAAATGAAAGTAGCATTTTTAAAAGAAAAAGGAAAAGAAAGTGGTTTTGTTTTTTAAAGAAAAGTTAAATAAAGTGAGATTCTCTTTTAAAAAAATAAAAAGTGGGATTTTAAATAAGATAAACGTAATTAAAGTTGGAATTTTAAAAATAAAAGTAAATAAAGGTGGGATTTCTTTTTTAAAAAAATAAAAGCAATTTGTAAGTGGGATTTCTTTTAATTAAAAAATAAAAAACAAATCTGAAAATTTCGAAAATTTTGCTATAAATAGAAGAGAAAATTAAGGAAGAAGGGGGTTCAAAAAAAAGAGGAAAGAATAGATAGAGAGAAGAAAAAAAGAGGGGGTGGAGAGAGAGGTATAAACGCGATTTACACTATGGATACACTAGATATACAGAGGGAGAATTAATTTTGAAAAAAAAAATCGAAAAGGAAAAAAAAAGGGAGGACGGATTTTGGACATCAAAAATTCAAAGTTTAAGAGTGAAATACAAGCTGAGTTTTTACCCAAAAGAGTTTAATAGGTTGAGAGCTAAATACTGAAAAGTGAGGTCTTCTTTACGACTGAAAATCAGAATCAGTTTGTTTCCGTTTAATTGAGGTTTTTTTAGTGGTTTCTTGAGTTGTTATTCCTGGTCTGCATTGGTTTGTGTTGATCTTGTTTCATTGAGTGTGCTGGAATCGTGTTGGTTTTCAAATCTGTCACTGGGTGTTACGTTTGCTGGTTGTTGCTGGTTATTGTTGCTGTTGCTGTGTTACATACTACTTTGCTGACCTTCCTCTTCTTGTATTGGCAATACCAGGTACACAACTGTAACTTTGGCATTTGTAAGCTGAAAACATGAAGTTTGAATATACGTGAAGAGTTGAAATTCTGTTTTGGATTCAATATGACTTATGTATTTAAATTCTTCAGTCGCTGATGATAGGTAGATCCCTGTTAGTATGTAGCAAATGGACTGAAACGGAGTTGTATGAGAGATTTTTTTTTATTAAAACATGTTAACATCTGGTAACTGATTCATGTAATTAAAAATGAGCTTGTTGGACTGTTAAATTAATCTGGACCGGGACTGTTTGGATCTTGGAATATGATTATGTAATAGTCGTATTAGTTTAGTTTTGTTTCGTAGTATAATTTGTGAGATTAGAGGCCAGCTGCAAGCTGAAACAAGAAAGTGTTTTGGAATTCCTGAATTTCACTTGTATTAAATAAATTGAGCTGAAATTAGTAAGGTGGGTTTAAAATTGGTAAAGAGTAATTAGTTTCGTTTTTGATATTATTGTTCGTCAATTCTGTATTTCTATTTATAATTTCAATTGATTTGGTAATATTCACTTATAGAATAAGATACGAAATAATCTCCTTTTGTACAAACTCGATTACAATTTCCCATTTGCATTTGTCTTAGACTAATAACTAATAAATCACGTCCTTTTTTAAGCATGTAATTAATTTGGAGGTTTTCTACTAGAGACAAACTTAATAAAAATGTAGTCACTTTAGGATTGTCCTTTTAAAATAAATGAGATGAGCCTCGCCTAGCAAAGCGCACAGATTGCGGGGCCCTCACAAATGTACGTATTAATTACTTAGAACTCGGGATCGACCGCTTAGCAAACTTCGCGGCCTTTTCCCAAAACAACCGCGCGTTAGTCTCTTTAGGCGCGTACTTTAATAATTTACTTCCTTAAATTCGGGTGCACATTTATGTGACCCAAATCCAAATCTCAACGGAGTCGAAATGTCTCGCTAATCACGGGTACATTGATTGTGACGTGGTTCGAGATGCATGTCCATGAAGTTGCAAATTCCTTTAAAAAGTAATGAATGAGACGAGCCTCGACAAACAAGAATACACAAATTGCGGGGCCCTCAACGGATAGTTATTTCGAATGCTTAGATTTCGAGACAGGCCGCATAGCGAACTTTACGGCTTTTCTCAAAATAACAACGCGTTAGTCTTTAGGCGCATATTTAATAATGTTATTTTCCTAAACTCGGGTGCATATTTATGTGACACAAATCCAAATCTCAACGAAGTTGGAACGTATCAAAAATTGCGGGTACATTTATGTGGCGCACTTCGAGATGCATTCTCACGACGTTGCAATTCTTTGAATAAATAATAACAAAGCGGTAAACAGTTAATCTGCACGTAGGTTCATAATTGTATAAAATAAGATAATCAAGCCGAATATGACAGTTGAGCGACCGTGCTAGAACCACGGAACTCGGGAATGCCTAACACCTTCTCCCGGGTTAACAGAATTCCTTATTCGGATTTCTGGTGCATAGACTGTTAAACAGAGTCATTCTTTTCCTCGATTCGGGATTCAACCGGTGACTTGGGACACCATAAATCTCCCAAGTGGCGACTCTGAATTAAATAACAAATTCCGTTTCGGTTGTCCTTTAATTAGAAAAACTCCCCATCCGCGCCCCTTTGCGACGACACGGGTAAAAGAGGTGTGACAACCGGTACAGTACGTAGAGAGAAACCCCGAAGATCAATTGACACACTTTTGATATGCTCAATAGGTACAACTCTTATTGTAGGTGGCTGAATAAAAAAATCTAATAAGTTTAAGTGGCCATGTATGTGTTCAGTCTAAAGCAACTGATCGACTTGTAATCATCCAATACAGGAGTATGAAAATACTATGGCATATATATTGTGCGTTGGGACATAACAACTGTAAAATTTCGAAAAAAAAGTGGAAAAAAATTTAAGTGAAAATGGTGTTTAAAAGTTAGAGTTGTGTTTGGACATGAATACAATTTGGAGCTATTTTTGAATTTTGTGATTGATTTGAAATGAAAATTTTGAAAATAATTTTTTTGAGTTTTTCAAATTTTCGAAAAATTGCGAAATTTATCTTCAAGTAAAATTTAAAATTTTCAAGACCAAACACCGATTCTGAAAATAGTGGTATTAGCTCCTACTATGACTTCATTGGGTGGTATTAGCACTATGTGCTCATTCCCTTGAAGAAGGAAAAGAGGCATGCACAACTATGACAATTGTGACTAGGACTCTCTTGCAATACTGTAGGATCAGTTTTACGACCAGAATGATGGCCATGCATTTCTCCATCACTTCTGAGATGTCTACTGATACAATGGTCTCAACACGACTCAAGGTGACAATACACGATAATGCAGGCACAAAAATTCTTAACATGGCAGCGTCTAAGGTCACGAGAAGAAGGTACTTGGAAAGAATTTGGTGGATGCGTATAGCAGACAACTATAGATCACCTTGGATATTGATTTCAATTCAACAGGATAGCTGGACAAAACAGGAAAAAATTTATCTACGGTACTTAACAAGAATCATCACAAGAGGGAGCAAAAAGGAAATCAAATTGGCTAAAGAACTCAAAGAAAAGCGGCAAAAAATGAACCATCGATATAAGAAGCTACATGGTTATATTAGATCATATGTGATATCAATAATGAGTTCAGTGCTCAATATTGGTAATACGTTCTATGTAATCATCGTATTTTATTTCTTTCATGTTGTAAGACCACCTGACACTATGTTT